CATCGTACACAATATTAATATTAGATTACTTTAAGGCGATAAACAAAGCTCGATAACTAGGTTTTTGTTTTAATTTTCAAGATTTGATTAATACTAAATTATAGACTTTTGAGTGCTGTAGATATATTTTTACATTTTTAATTTTTTACATTTTCTATGGATATTATGGCTCCAATACATTCACAGCCGGATTTCCTACGGTGTCAAAATTGTACCAACGGTAGGCTGTTTAAAGGTAAAAAGGGATTAAATGTACACATTAAACGATGCCATAGTAAAAATATTTCGGCTTCACAGCCTACCGTAGAAATTCATGACTCTTCTGATAATATACCTAATGACACAAATTCTTCACTTTTTTTCGAAACAATTATACAATTTGTATAGTTACGTACCAGTGGTTAAAAGAATTCCCAGAGGCGCGAGGATGCAACTTGCTAAAGCATTATCATTAACTATTCAAAATTGTCTAAAGAATTGTGAAAAAAGTTGGCAAACATTATTTACATTCGCGTATTCCCACTTTCATTTTAGTAAAACAATAAGTAAATCAATTATGTCTCAACTAAAAGAAAATTCTTTTCAAAATTTGAATTACCCGATTAATACTCATTTCTCTCAACCTTATCCTAAATTTGATTTAAAAAAAGTAGTTGAATCAAAAGAAATGGACGGCGACTTAAAAAATGCATCCCGTATTTTATTCTCAGATGACATCCTCGCTCCTCGTAATGTCGAAACTCTTGAAGGCCTTTGTCAGAAACATCCTTCGGTCAATCCTTCCCAGAATTTACCGCTGCCTCCCAATACTTCTATGCAACCATTACAACTTTCCGAAAAAGACACTTTAGACGCAATATTGTCATTTTCGAATGGCTCTGCCGGTGGCATTGACGGGATTACTTACGCCTAAGCATCTCAAAGGCCTTGTAAGCGTATCTGCCGGTGACGCCGGTAGGGTACTTCATAATGACATAACAAAATTATGTAATTTTAACTTCAAAATTAGTTTGCAGGCTCATAATCTCAAACCTTAAGACAAAATTTCAACCTACTCAACTTGGCTTTGGCACCAAAGGTGGCTGTGAGGCGGCTGTACATTCGGTGCGTACTTTCTTAACTAATTCCAATGCAGATTTTCTTCTGAAGGTTGATCTTAGAAATGCTTTTAACTCTATTGATAGGATAACCCTACTGAAAGAAGTAGCTAACAATACCCCCGAAATATATCATTACGTTTGGCAATGTTACAGTCAAAATTCAAACTTATTTTATCAAAACCATATTATTGAGTCTGTCGTCGGTGTTCAGCAGGGTGATCCATTAGGTCCAGCTCTTTTCAGTTTGGGAATTCAACCTATTATTTCAAATTTAAAATCCAAGCTGAATGTCTGGTATCTGGACGACGGTACACTGGGAGGTAAAGCAGATGACGTCCTCAATAACTTTACTCATATTTTTCAAAATTTTAAAAATATTGGTCTTGAACCAAATACAAATAAATGTGAAATATTTATTTCTAATAATTTATCTAATTCTAACAGAGATACCTTAATTCAAAATTTCAATCAGATTTCTCCAGGAATAAAAACTGTCAATTCGGAATCGCTTTACCTGCTTGGTGCTCCGTTGTTTTTCGATAGTATTAAACCTGTTTTAAAAACAAAATTTGATCAATTTTTAAATCACGTTGATAAATTATATATTTTAAGCCCCCATATTGCCCTTACCATTTTAAAATATTGTCTCCTTGTACCTAAATTTACATACTTATTACGCTCAAGTCCAGTATGGAAATGTCTGGATATTTTAAAAGACATTGGTAATAATCTTAAAATTGCTTTAGAAAACATTCTAAATTTGAGATTAAATACAATAGCCTGGAATCAAGCCACTTTACCTATCAAATTTGGTGGAATTGGTGTAAGAAATATTTCTAGCGTCGCATTGCCTGCTTTCCTTGCTTCCTGCATAGTGTCAATGACCTATTTAACACAATTTTAAATAAAAAAGTAGACCTGTACTTTGCTGCGGAGGCAAAGCTAACATGGCTAACGCTCTGTCCCGGCGAAAATGTCCCACTGGAAGTTAACCAACAAAAATAGTGGGATATTTCGTTGGTACGGAGTGTCCAGAAAAATTTATTTCAAAATTTCCATATTCAACAAGATCAGGCTCGCCTTCCAGCTGTTTCGACTAAGGAATCTAGCCACTGGTTACATGCTCTACCATCAAGTAATCTCGGCACATTTCTTGATGGGGAAAGCTTGCGCATCGCCGTAGGAATTTGTCAACCTCACCAGTGCCCCTGTGGTAGCAGCGTCGATGAGTTTGGGCTCCACGGACTTTCATGCAAGAAAAGTGCAGGTAGGTTTTCCCGTCACGGTTCTTTGAACGAAATCATCCGAAGGGCTCTTGTCTCTATAAATATCCCCTCGGTTTTAGAGCCTTGCGGGATGTTTAGACGATGCAGAGACCCGACGGTATGACTTTGGTCCCTTGGGAGAGAGGTAAAGCCCTAGTGTGGGATGCTACTTACGTTGACACTTTGGCGGCCTCTCATCTCAAGGGTACCTCTTTTAGAGCCGGGGCGGCATCAGAGGTAGCCAAATTTAGTAAATGGCGCAAATATGAGTCTTTGAGAAATGACTACATATTTATGCCATTTGCTGCAGAGACTATCGGTCCGTGGGGTCTACGTGCAATGAAGTTTCTAAAGGAACTGTATCCACGACTGGTCGTCACTGCTGGTGATAAGAGGGCTGCTTCTTTCCTCGCTCAAAGGCTAAGTATAGCTATTTTAGCGAGGAAACGCAGCCAGCGTTCTCGGCACTATACCACGGGGAGCAGGTCTCTTTGACGATTTAAATTTTTAGTTTTAGATTTTCTATATTATAGTTTCTTCTTTTATATTGTATATAATGAGTTTTAATCGTAAATATTATAATTTTAATTATTATTTTAGTTAAGTTCTTTATTATAATTTTTGTAATATAAAAAGATACTATTATATAATTATAAATGTTACATATTTAATTAAAATATTCCTTGTTTGAGTAAGACGTCGCACACAGGTCACTCACAGCGGAATATTAATTGTGACAAAATTTTACGTTTATAAAACTTCTCGTGTTTTTAAATATTACTACCAAATATTACCACAGAATAAATAATAGATACGACGACCACGAAGATGTTGTTCAATATGTCCACCTGTCACACATTTGCGACGCCGGCTTATATGTTTTATCGACCGACGACCCTAATTTTTATTTTTATTCTTGATCACTAAATTGTGACAAAATTTTATGTTCATAAAACTTCCCATGTTTTTAAATATTACTACTAAATATTAGCACAGAATAAATAATAGATATTGGATCAAAATTAGTTAATCGGCATAAAGTGGACGCTACTTTTTATCACTCGAAGAGTGGAGTTTTTTGAGTTTTTCCTAGTACCTAAGTCCTTCGTCGGCTTTCGTTTTTGAGTTCAAAGAGCGCGCAAAACGCCGCGTATATTACCTATTAATATTGTTTTGTTTACTATACTCTAGCAATAAACGACAATATGAATTTATTTAAAAAAATTACTACCTACTACATATTCTTTATCGAATAATATTTCATATGAAAAATACATACTTTTCTCCAACAAATGGTTGCAAATTTGGGATTAATCACGATATTTTATGCGTGAAAAAACCTTTTTACATATTTTCGTAGATCTCTTTAGCAATAAAGTGGGAAATTTATAACATAAGTATTCAAATACTATGTGTATTGGGGTTGAAATAATATCCATTTCATTATAATTTCTATTATTTTGAAATTAAAATTTTCGGAGAATAACTGAGTCTAGATAGGTATAAAGATTTACACAAAATCCTTGTGGAAGCACGCGCCGCTTTGAGTCGGCCATGTCAGTGACCTCATATCGGGCGTAGACTATTATTTATTCTGTGACGTAGATAATATTATGTAGGCACGTGACGGTAAGTTCAGAAGCAAATAACATTTTTAGAAATTTAATATTTCTTAAGGTATCTTATTAGAAACCCAAAAACCCCATTTAAAGCAACCAAAAAAAAATCATTATCATAATTGCCATGCCTATGTTTACTATATATCTACTATATTATATATATACATACAGTATGTAACAAAAACCCTGTTGGTCGTTTCATGGACGTATGGGTATAAAATATAAAAAATATATACATAGAGAGAGAGAGGGGGGGGGGTACATTACAGTATGTTTGTGTGAAATATACGAGAGTCCCCTACAAAGGTATCATGTCACAATCGGGGATTATCGATATATAGGGTATATATAAGATGACACAAAAATTCACTATTACTAGAGCAGTACCTATCTAGCAAATTTCTAGATTGGAACTGAATGAAAAAATTGGCATTGAACTTCATTTCCAATATTCATTCAATATGGTGCTCTCTTTAGTAGCTTTAATATCTTTATGTAACAATACCAAATGGCGTAAAGAAAAGTAGTTTCAACATATTCCAACTGATTTAATAATAAATACAAAAAAATATATATATATATATATATATAGGCGTAGGGAAGTGACGACCCCATCGCCCGCTGACGTAACGGTTACATGACAAAACCACTACGTGAGCGCAGTCAGTCAGCACCTTGCCAAGAGGTGTTAGTGTCGTGCCTCAGCATAAGTAGACGGTACAAAGGCCCGCTTGTGCACATGGTCTCACCATGAAACGGCGCCGGGTCTGGGCGTCCCCCGTTGAATGACGCCCATTAAAATGGATGATGGAATTTGATAAAACGCGCAAAGGGCCTCTGCCTGGGGGGTCACCGGGGCGCGTCTGGAGCTGGCGCTGGACGTGACAGCATGCGAACCACCAGCCGAGCGCGAGGTGCTGCTCGACCACCCAGTAGCCCCTCGCATCCATCATCCCCAACAGCAGGCTTGGTGACGGTAGGGTCTTCGCGGGCCCAGGAATCGGTACCCGCCGCTGATGGAATACGCTGCATGCGTTGGGTATAGGGCGATAGGGGGAGAAATTGGAGGTTTTGCGTATCAGGCAAGGTTGCATCGACTTTTTGCTGAGCTGGAGCCATCTGTAACCGTCACCGAGCAAAACCTGGCAGACCGAGTTCGGTATATCTTGCGCTCAAATATATTTGATGACGCCGAACTCGAACGGCTACGGCGTGAGGCTGTTCCCTCATCAAATGAAAATGCTACGGCTGAGGATGCGGTACCACAAGTTGCAGAACATCCCGCACACGTGGATACCGCCGTGAATACCCCAGTGGTGGCTGATTCAAATGATGATGGAACATTCACCCAGGAACTAGAAATAGAGCAAATGAGGAGTACATTGGAAGAGGCGATTATGGAAACGCGCAGTACGCCTCTCGAAAATCGACCGCGACTTCCCCGCATAGCCCTAAGCAAGCGGAATCGCAAATCGCAATGCGGTGACCTATTTGGAAGCCAGACGGGGCCTTTGCGATACGGACTCAATTCTTTTTGGCGCCGCGCTGGCAGTCTGCCGTATCATAGGCGCCAAGGTTTCTACGGCTGGACGCGCTTCTGACCAAAGTAGCGCTATCCCAGCATGGAGAAAAAGAATTGAGGAGCGTATCGCAAAGGCTAGAGCTCTCATTGGCAGACTGATATGCTTCAGATCAGGCAATAACAGGCCAAGAATTGTGCGCACCGTCAATATGGCATTTACTGGGACAAATGTCAGTTTGTCCCAGCTGGATATAATGCAAAAACTGACGGAGCACATAGATGATCTGAAGCTGAGAATCGCTGCTTGGGGAAAGCGGATTCGGTGATATACCGAGAGATCGACTCGGTTCAACCAGAATCGTCTCTTCCAGAGTGATCAGAAGAGCCTCTATGAATCATTGGAGCGACCAATGGTAAGTGGAACGGGCCCAGCACTGAATCAGGCCGACACTATAACATTCTGGCGCGGCCTGTGGTCAGAGCCCGTAAACCACAGCGAGGGCTCTTGGACAGAAGTTGTGGCGAGTCAGTGTGCGAGTATAATGCCCATGGACCCGTCATTATAACACTGGATGACGTAGCCGAGGCGGTCCGTAGGGCCCCGAACTGGAAAAGTCCGGGACTCGACGGGCTGCATCACTACTGGCTGAAGGGGTTTGTGGTGTGCCACACTGTGTTTGCCCGATAGTTCCAAGAGGCTCTCAATCAGAAGTCGCTCCTAAGCCTCTTCACTACTGGGTTCACTCATTTGGTTCCTAAAGACCAGGATACCACAGACCCGTACAAACACCGCCCAATCACGTGTCTACCGACCATATACAAGACACTAACATCCATTTTGAGCGCGAGAATCACTCGTCACCTGGACTCAAATCAGATGATGTCGCGCGCTCAAAATGGATGTCGGGGCGGTGGTCGTGGAACCAAGGAACCAAGGAACCACTTCTCATTGACGTGGTTATTGGCAAAGTGGTGAAACGCAACCGTCAGAACTTCTCCGCCGCCTGAATAGACTACAGAAAGGCATTCGACTCAGTGCCCCATACATGGCTAAAGAAAGTCCTCAAGCTGTAGAAGATAGACTGTACAGTTAGAGACTTCCTAGAACAATGTATGGGGCAGTGGAGTACGATCCTTTGTCATGTGCGCGAGCTGATGATGGCTGCGGAAAGCCACATAAAGATAAGAAGAGGTATCTTCCAGGGCGATTATCTGAGTCCAATCTGGTTCTGCCTCTCTTTGAACCCTCTCAGAACTTTATTGGAGGGCTCCGGGAGGGGTTTTCAGTTTCGGAAAGGAGGTACAAAAGTGACCCACCTTTTTATATGGATGACCTCAAGTTATTCGCCTCCAGTCGATCCCATCTTGTGGAATTGCTAAACATCACTTGTGTATTTAGCAATTCTATTGGAGCTGGGGACGGATAAATGTGCGGTCCTCCATGTTGAAAGGGGAAGGGTTGCTAACTCTGAGGGCATAGACTTATCTATGCCCATCAGTTTAAGGACCCTTTCCGAGGCTGAAACTTACCGATACCTGGGTGTGTCACAGAACATCGGTATCGATGAGGCTGGTATGAAACAGTCAGTTTGCGACGTGTTTTATGCACGATTGACCAAAGTGCTAAACATCCTTTTATCTGGTGTGAATAAGGCACACGCATATAACGGCTGGGTCATGCCTGTCCTCATCTTGGCATACTCAGGTGGACTCAGACTGAACTTAACGCCCTGGATATAAAAGTACGCACTACTATGACGTCCCATAGGATGCATGATCCGAGATCGTCGGTAATGAGGCTGTACCGCTCACCATGCATAATCGCGAAGTGTGCAGCGTCCGTAATTACTTCTTGGTGAGATCGGATGATCAATTCTATGAGGACGTCATTTGTTGTGATAAAGGACTTACCCCTCTATCCTTAGCCAACGAGCAATGGCAAGACCCGGCAGTGCAGAGCATTTCCGACCGGGGGACCGTATGGAAGGAGAAGGAGCTCCACGGGAGGTTCTACAAGGCTCTACATGAGCCTTTCGTAGACACAGTAGCCTCCCTCTACTGGCTACGCTTTGGTGAATTCTTCGGGTAAACCGAGGATTTTGTCTGTGCAATACAGGATCAGTTTTGTAAAACCAACAACTATCGGAGATACATCCTAAAGGATGGCACCTTCGACATCTTTCGAACTTGTCGCCATCCCGGCGAATCACTTAGGCATGTCATCTCCGGTTGTTCGGTGCTTTCTAACTCTAAGTACTTGCACAGACATAACCTAGTAGCCAGAATTATTCACCAGGAGCTCGCTCTGAAATACGGTCTCGTGGATCGGAAATTGCCGTATTACATGTACTTGCCGGAAGCCGTGCTCGAAAATGATCGCGCAAGGTTCTACTGGTACCGGGCCATCATCACAGACAGGACTATTCTTGCGAATAAGCCTGTCTGTGATGATGGCCCGATGTGAGGTGACCGGGCACAGTCAATGATATTTTTGGTCGACATTACCATTCCGTATGACGAGAACTTCGTTAAAGCCGAAACAAATAAACGAACAAAATATCTGGACCTGGCTCACGAGGTGACCAACATGTGGGGTGGTCTGCCAACTAAAATTATTCCTGTAGTCATTTCTGCAAACGGGCTAATCCCAGTCAGCCTCTCGAGTCATCTGAGGAGGCTGGGACTCCGTGACGGATCGCTCCAGGCTCAAAGGCAGAAGGCGGTGCTCCTCGATACCGCCCGCATCGTCCGCCGGTTTCTCTCCCTTTCCCCTAACTCGGCCGTTTGATCTCCCCTGCTGAAGGCCTCCACCTGGTTGGGCTTTTATTTATTCATGTATTACTTATTTATTTGTGCTGGTATATGAAATATATATTTATGTATATTTATCATGTACTTTTATATATTTATTCAGCCCAACCAGATGAGAATACACAGCGCAATAATTATTTGAAAACCTTTAAAGTATTTTACTATAAAATACATAAATATTTTTGATTTTTGACGTACATACTAAAAAGTATGTATTTTTTGTATTTAATCATACCTGTCCATTGCTCCCTCTCTTTCATATTTCGTCTGTAGTGCCTACGGAAGCGCATAGGTCTTTCCTCTTTAGGGAAGATTTTCCCAGTTGTAAGCAGTTTATAGATGTGAAACGAAAAAAATTATGTGAAATTTATTTTAATATGAGATTTGTACAAAGTGTCGAATATGTTAAACTAAAAATATTAATTAACAACAAAAATGTTTTTAGAAGTTTATTAGGTTTAATTATACATACAAGTAACGTTATTATTCGACAACATGTGGTATAAAATTCCTCGTAATATTGCTCGCTTCATTTTAAAAGAGACCTTAAAGTGACTATTATCAAGATACTTGAGATGTCTCCTGAGGATTTCAAGTAGCAATATTTGGGTTTTGTTAAGACCGCTCTAGGATAAACTCGTATCGTTTCACAACATTTTACTCGACATTTTATCATGTATAAATAATAACTTGAGCTCATTGTTGTCTTGTTAGTGTGTTATTATACTTGTGGTTACGATTTGGATAAAATTTTTTTTGCTTATCTTCTTCTGTTGCTTACATATAATTAATATTACGTAATTCGGGATGTTTGAGGCTGAGAAAATTTAAATATTCTTTTACAATAAAATTTTATTGATTCATATATTATATACAAAACTTAACATTCTTATAATTTTATGGCTAACTCAAACCATGGCTCTTACAGGTCAAAGTAATCGTGTCAATAAACGACTATTCCGTAGCTATAAGTATAAAGCTAAATAAATGGAATATAAAAATATACAATTACGTTTTTACTCCGTGGTAGCACTTCTTTTCTGTCTAGGAGTCCGTTGGTCAGTTACCGTTATCTTATCTCTTTCTGCCGCGAAATATACGTGTTTGTTTTAAAATGTGGTAGTTATTAACTACTTTATGGTGTTATCGTTTTTTAACGTATCAATGTATTTACGCTTTACAAGGAAACTATGAGCGATAGTAAGTTAAAATTTTCCGAACTGGTGTTTAAGTTGAAACTTGTAATTTGCCTACTGAACAACTTTTGTTGTTAAAGTAGCACATATGTAAACGTTTTTTACATAAAAAAACTTCAATTTTCGTTTTAATTTGTAGGTAGTATGAAGTAAATAATACAATAAATAAATATGTCGAGCGCATTTGGATTGTAGCTGCTCGGCGACCTAGTCCTTGTTTCCCAAAGAAAAAGAAGAGAAGCTCAGAAATATAATGTTTTTGCTCAGTAACATTTGTAAAGGCTGTTAAAGAGTATTATGGCTATGACATGAATAGTTCGGTTCAACCGGGGAACATAGAGGATCACACAAAATAACAGCGTAAATTAGCGTAACTCTGCTTTGATTTTATTTGATTCCTTATCAATGATAAAGGGACTGTGACTGGTTTGTCTTTTTTTTGCGCCCGAAGCAATTATGGTCAACTCTCCGGAAAGCGGGGGAGGGAGACGGTGAATGCTCATAGCATACCACGCAGCCGGCTGCGTGGTTATGTGGAGACTTTTACCCACTAAACACCGCCTTTATGGATTGGCTTACCGATCTGACGAGAGGTCTCTAAGCCGTATACGAACGCGACCCTTCTTGGCAGAAAGGAGGGCGCAAGTAGCGAAAAGCCGCTTAGAAGTGTGCCTAACTAAGGCAGATGAAGAGATGTGTTATGTAGGCTCGGCCTGAGCTGCCAGGGGGTAGTTCAGGTCAGCCGAAAGCTTGTTGGGGGGGGGGGGTCCAAGAGAGAGTTTCTCGGTCTGCGCACACTATAGCGAGTGTGGATAGGGGCTACATAGGCAGCTGTCTCACGAATGAGATGATTTGGGTGGGACTCTGAGGCTTCGAAAAATCTCTCAGAGAGTGATTTAAGGAACTGCTGGATTGTTGAGAGCTCTAAGTCTCGGTGTAGTTCGGCATTACGGACTTAATAGGGTGAGTTATTGGCCCTACGACAGAATAGATTTTGAACTACTTGAAGTTCATTTATAACTTTGGGTTTAGCATGTGCGAAAATGGGGTCCTCGTAGGTCATAACAGCTCC